TAAAGCTCTATTTAAGGGAGAGCCAATAAACAAGACCCTCTGTTTAAATCCTATGACGTGTTAAAAAGAAATGTGCTTTAAGGCAAGGCACCGCGGTACAGTGGCCTTTGCTTTAATTTGTTTAAGGTAATAAGAGTTTTGTTCAGCCTGTTTAAATAAAATGTGTATGTAAATGTCAGCAAAGTATAAAACAGTTTTCTGTTAGAAGCCTGAGCTGTGTAAGATCATGACTGGAGAACTAAAGCAAAATTGATTCAGTGTCTAATGGATTAGAATTAATATTGACAAAAGGTTGCACTATTGCCAGACAAAATAATGGAAGTGGACTTTTTTTTTTTCCCTTCCTGTTGTTTCTTTTTGAGAGCCTTTACGAGGTTGGATGGTACTGAGCAGACACAGGCTGACTGGAAGGAACAAGTGGCTTTACTATCATGGCCGCTACCTCCTAGAAATGTAGGATTCTCACTTACTTTGGCCTTTGTCTGGCTGCTCTGGAGAGGGAATGAATGCCACCGCCACCAATTCCAGTGGCTTCCACTAAGCCCTGCATGTGTAAGGAGAGACTTAGGGTCTTCTTGGTTCCTCCTCCTTGATGTCTGTCCTTTCCTTCTTCATTTCTTTTCCTTTTTCCATCTGTTTTAGCAGAAGTTGTCTGATGTCTCTCAGCAAGCTATGTCTTTTGCAGCATTGGCACCAGAATGCAGATGAAAGCAGTGCTCTGAGCAGTCCAGGTTGGCCATTTTGCATGGTAGCAGGTGGAAGAATATTCTGTGCGTGTATTTCAGCTTCAGCAGAGCCTCAGTAAAACGGAGGCTTTGTTTTCCTTATCTGGTGATCTTTCCAATTTTGTGTGTGCGTCTCCTTTCTTTCTCTCCCCCCCCTCCGCCTTTATGGAAAACAGGATTTGAGTTCTGCAACTGCTTAACTAATTGTTTTTTTCTCTCCCTCCATTCTAGTCAAGACACAATGAATGATTTTTTTATTTTAATTTTTTTCCTTTTTTCCAGTTTTTGAAACTTAACATTGTAATTAAAGAATGAATTTTAACTTTAATGAAGCACAGTTGTTTTCATTTATAAACGTTAATACAAGGCATCAAATGCATGCATAGTTTTGAGCAAGACTTAAGCCTACTTGAAGCAGTGGCAATTGCTGGAAAGGTAACAGGGCCAAGCTGGCAGCTGAGGGATTTTTTGGGAACGATTTATTTCAATGAAATTGGAGTAACAGCACAGTCTACATAATTTTTTCTGTAACCTGTAAGATTCTCAGTCTACAAAAATATACCTACCTATCTTAAAATACTTTGAAATATCTGTTGAATTCAGTCCTTTACTAAATTTGGATCTCAAATGTGAATGTAAATTGCTACTATCTCATTTAAAATTTACATGATTTGTTGGACCAGGTAACTTGCAATGAGGTGTAATAAACTCATTCTGCCTGAAGTTTAGACTCATGTTCTAGAAAGAACTCCTCGTTATTGGACTTTGGATGACAATTGCAGTTGTTAAAATGAGTGGTTTCTTTGGTGTGGGGTATCTGAAGGCTTTATATCAAAGTGTCTAGAGAGTCCTAGTAGAGGCACTTGTATCCTTGGCCAGTCATCATATCGATCATTTGTTGAAATTAACATTGCCGTAAGTCAGAGCGTGTGGCCCAGTTGGGGTTCTGGATTAAAGACAGTAGAGTGCTTTCATGGATGAGAGGCTTAAAGGAATCAAAGGGCCATAAATGACCTGTGCTAGAGGTCTGAGGAGCACAAAGCTCTCGGTGAGACATAGTGGATATCGTTTACTGCTTCTGTTCAAGGAAATTGCAGAAACTAATTTCAGTACTTGGGGAGTAGTTCCTGCAAATGCATTAAGGACATCCTACAAAAATTGTGTGACGCTGGACTTTTATTTTCCTCATTAAAGGTGAGACATGTCTTTCCATTCCGGGCGAGGATGTCCTCGTGGTCAGGGGGGACCAGGAGCAAGGACTTCAACACAGACCTACCGCCCTCAGAACCTACGGCAGCTTCACCCACAACAGCCCTCTGTACAATACCAGTATGACCAGCAAACTGCCCCTCCAACAACCTATTCAAACCCTCCAACCACCGGTTATATGCCTCCCAGGCCAGACTTTGTGCCCTATCCTCCTCCAGTGCCCCCTTCTGCACAAAATCCCATCAGCCAGTGTCCCATGAGGCCACCGTTTCCGAACCACCAGATGAGGCAGAGCTTCCCGGTGCCTCCGTGCTTCCCTCCTGCTCCCCCGCCCGTGCCAAATCCTAGCAATGCTCCTGTGCCAGGAACTCCTGCTGGGCAAAGCACCTTTCCTTACATGATGCCTCCTCCCACAGTACCGCATCCTCCTCCCCCACCAGTCATACCACAGCAAGTCAACTACCAGCCTGTGTACTCTGCAGGGTATTCGCAGCAATCGTTCCCACCACCTAACTTCAATAGCTATCAGCACAACTCTGGCTCCTTTCCGAGCAGCGCTACCAACAGCAGTGGTGGCAGCAGCCATTTTCGGCATGCGGGTCAGTACCAGGGAGAGAAGTCGCAAAGTGATCGACGGTCTCCAGAGCGGAGCAAGCACTATGATGAGCACCGACATCGTGAACATGGTCACATTCATGGTGACAGGCATCGGTCCACTAACCATGGGGATCGTCGGGATCGAGGCCGGAGTCTGGATAGGAGGAGGCAGGAAAGCAGTCGGCACCGGACAGATTATGACAGAGGAAGGGTATCGCCTCATCACAGAAGTTATGAGCGTAACAGGTAACTTGAGGTATCTTCTGCCTGCAGAGGGAGAGCTGTCATTGTTGTCCCATACTATTTGTTTGCATCGATGTTCTTCCCTCACGCTTGTTTTTCCCTCTAGCTCGGGAGGTAGCCAGTACTCAGGTCTGATGGAAAGAGCTACTGTTTTGACATCTTTCAGGTACTGTGAGGCTTCTGCCTCACCTTTGCAAGCTTGGCAGACTTGTTGCCCTTGTCCGTGGAGATAGCTGGAAGCAAAGAAGCTCTCGTTTGAAAACTGAGTGGATTGCTGAGTAGTGCTCTACTCTCATGGTTATTTACCATAGAAACTTATGCACATGTGACATGAAAGTAGAGTTGGCACAACTTTGTGAAAAACTGTGTTCAAAGTTGAGCCTTACAAACAGTTAAGTCTCAGCACTTCAAATTCCAAGATTTAGGTACCAGAGTTAGGGTTCCAGGTGTTATTTGAATTTGGTCTTTCTTTGAGTAAGCCCTGTATTTGTAGAGAACCAGCACTTGGAGGGGTTTATAGTCTGATACGTGCACCTATCTAATCCCTGCAGTGAGGTGTTTTAGTGAAAAGCATGTTGCGCAGTGTTCTTCATCCTGCTCTGTCCTCATCCTCATGGGACACCAGCGCAGACGTGTGCAGGCTTCATGGGACCTCCCAGTGGGTGCTTAGACCTGCCTGTGTGATTCTGTTCAGGATGAAGACCTCAGCAAGCCAGCCTGTGATCTCAAGAGAAGACTGAGGTGAAAATTAGCGTACACCAGTTAAAACAAATAGGCAAGTTGTAGGCTATGTTGACATCTTATGATTCAGATAGATGAGTGTGGACTGCTTATTTTGGGATGTATCGTGAAGTTTCTGTGTCTCTACTTCATAGACACAAAACAGCTTGCAAATTATGAGCTGACCTGATAGTTTGCTGCGTGGTGTTTTAGAGCAAACCATTATCAGTTAAATCTTTCAGATGTCTTAGATTTGCTCTCTTGGTGGCTGTTTTTGTGTCTAATGATCAAGGTCAGTATATTCAAAGAGATACTGGAAAGTTAAGTATCTAAATATTTATCAGAGCACCTGGATCACATGCCCTAATTTTAGAAGCTCTGAGCTTTCTCATGTCACGTGTGGAACATGAATTTACACATAGTGCCTATGGAAATGAAGCCACATTGATTTAGATATGCAGAGATTTAATTGCAGAACCTTAGACAGCCGTATACCAAAAAAACCCCAAACCTCACATTCAGTAAGTTTACCTTGATTTCCAAAAGAGGATTTTCCTAAAACTGAATGCAACTGGCATTAAAGCACTGGCCTCTTCTGTATGATGAGCTTGTGGAATCTTCTGCCCTTTGTAGGTGACTCAAATATTTGCCACATAATTATACAATTTATTGTTTAGACTTTAAAGTTCAGTTTTAAGTTTTGAAAATTCATGTTTCCAGCTGCTTCTTTCTCAAACACTTGTGGATTACTGCTTGAGACCAACAGCTTTCTGGTCTACTTGACAATGTATCTGCTTATTTTAATGAGAACTGTTTGCTGGCCTCAGTGTGGTTTTTGCACACCATCTTTCTCTCAAGTAAATCAGATGGCATAGAATATGCACTCTCTGCAGACTGAAATCCATGCTTGAACAAGGCACAGGCAGAGAAGAATGAATAGGTGTGGGGAAGAACAATAGATAATTTATATGAACTTTGTGCTTCATAAATTTGCATTCTATTTCATGTTACACATATGGAAACATACATATATATGTTCATAAATAATCTTGACTCATTCTGTTAGCCCACCAAACCACCTGAGGCGCATATTTATAATTCCTTGTGTATCAGCAGACTTGTTTACTAGGAAATTTGACAGATACACAAATGATTGTGGACTAAAGAGTTGTCAGCTGTTAGCAGAGTGTGAAAACTGCCTGTGTGATCTTTGCTGTCTCCTGTACATGGTAATTTGGAATCATTTAGGTTGGAAAAGACCCTTAAGGCAAGTCCAATTGTAAACATAACACTGCCAAGTTCACCACTAAACCGTGTCCCTAAGCACCATGTCTACACGTCTTAAATACCTCCAGGGATGGTAACTCAACCACTCTTCCAGTGCTTGATAACCCTTTCAGTGAAGAAATTTTTCCAAATATCCAATCTAAACCTCCCCTGGCACAACTTGAGGCCATTTCCTCTCGTCCTATCGCCAGTTACTTGGGAGAAGAGACTGACACCCACCTCGCTATAGCCTCCTTTCAGGAAGTTGTAGAGAGCGATGAGGTCTGCCCTCAGCCTCCTTTTCTCCAGGCTAAACAGCCCCAGTTCCCTCAGCTGCTCCCCACAGGACTTGTTCTCTAGACCCTTCACCACCTTCTGTTGCTCTTCTTTGGACGTGCTCCAGCACCTCAATGTCTGTCTTGTAGTGAGGGGCCCAAAACTGAACACAGTATTGGAGGTGTGGCCTCACCAGTCCTGAGTACAGGGGCATGATCACTTTCCTAGTCCTGCTGGCCACACTATTTCTGATACAAGCCAGGATGCTGTTGGCCTTCTTGGCCGCCTGGGCACACTGCCGGCTCATGTTCAGCCGGCTGTTGACCAACACCCCTAGGTCCTTTTCCCCAGGCCTTCAGTTAATTTAAAGCTCTTTTGCCCCAGAAATATGTTTGGGTGGTCAAGTTCTTTATGTGTATGTGCAAGCTGAGTCTTGTAGATGAGATTCGTAGTTTGAGCATGATGCAGATTTTCCGTATTTATGTTTTTTGTGTGTGCTTGAGGTGGCTGTCAGGAAGGGCTTTGCCTGAAACACTTGAATGATTGCTGTGCGTACAAAGCTATTGTGCAT